GCATCACTGCTCGTCAACGCAACTAAATACCAATGTGAAGACTCCAGGTACTAGTAATCTACCACTCATCTGGCTCAGCATCGGGACGTTCCTCATCAGAGAACCAAGCAAAAATCTCCTCGTCGTCGTTGGTGTCTGTCTTGTTGTCATTGATCCGCGGCTCAACATTGTCAATGAGCTGTCCGAGAGCGGCACAGTGATCCAAACCTGCCAAAGTGAACATGAGGTGAAGATTCGGGTGCAACGACTCACCTAATCCAGCACCAGCATTTACACCACCCATGTAGTATGCACCATCCTGTCCGATCACGTCTTCACCTCCTCGAAGTGGACGCAGGCTGGCAATGGGTTGAATCTCGTCACAATATTGATCCGCAGCTTGCGTAAGAGCAAAACCCCAGATCTGGTCCACACTGGGACCCGCGGTGCCCGGGAGCTGATCTAGCACCTCGAAGCATCGCAGGAGTTGCCTATAGAGGTCCCAGCATGTTTATCGAGTCACTGGGGGGCTCCCAAGGTCGGCATAGAACCTGCTGATGTACTCAGCAAAATCCGGCGGCACAAGGTGGAAGATGTCGTGAGCTGGTGGGGCGTACTGCTCTCCTACGGTGTCAATGTGAGCTTGATTGACTTTCACCTGCATAAAAGAACATTGTCTTGCTCATTATGGGAAACATGAGGGGGGACCAACGTACCTTGAAGTCCAAAATCGCGTACTCCTCTGGGAATTCCAACATGTGCTGCGGAACACCATGAGGCAGGATTTTGTTGCAATCACGACGCTTGGCAGTCATATTCACGCGTTTTTGGTACGCTTGAAGCCAGGGGATGAAAACCCAACGAAATATAAGACTGTGAAGTTGATCAGCTATAAGAGAGAAAGATACAGTGATACAAAAGCGCACAATTCGAGAACAATCCCTGGGTCATACCATCCGTTGTCCACACCTGTATCGAGGATATCTTCGAACCCGGGCGTAAATCGGCGACGCATCATGCTCCAAGTGATCTCAGGCATGACATTTTTCTTCTCACGCATGTAATGGTGCTGGGACGTTCCTGCAAGGTCAGGATCATGGAGATGGCGAAGCGTCTAAGTCCATTTGCGATTCCGACGTTCTCAGAGCCAGGATCGCTCTGGCTTACTAAGGGAATGACTGGAACAAGGTGTCAGTAGCATTAAGAATGAGTAAAATCTGTACTTGCATTGAAGATTTTGAACCGCGTCAAGATAATAACTCAGAATTAGACGAGGGTTGCTATTATTCCACCAGATTTTCATCCAATGGATGTATCCAATGAATGGATCGATCCCAGTGTGAAGTGCAAGACCAAATTTATACTTCCATTTGTCGTGCTGGTCCACAGCCCAGATATCGTTCACTCCGGCAGCCCAGAAACGTTTTCGCTTGAAGTGTCCATGGCGACGTTCACGGACTAGATGCGGCTCGTACGCACGAAAGTATTCGATCACGACACTCCTGCAACTGGATGAAAACGACGACTGATCTGTGAGAAAAGAAACATGTACCGTGGAACCAGAATGTCCTCTTCATGAAAGAGCAAGTTCACCATGTCACGGGCACCGGCACGAGGATACACAATATGGATTCTCGCAATAGGGCCCATAATTGAATCGACAGTGTGACCCTGCTTGCGAACCCGAAAGAAACCCATTCACTCTCGGAGTTTCCGAAAGGCTTTGATTCTGCAGAATCCTCAAAACAGCTGATCTGAAGCAAGATGAGCAACGTACTCAAGTCCGTACCGGAAGAGATCAATATGATGTTTCTTTAGTTGCTCCAGAATATACCTGTCGTTGTGCTTCATTCTCCAATAATACTCGATCAACGTCCGCAACTTGGGGGTCTCAGGTGCTAAGTGAGGGGATCAGCTATTAGAATTGGATGTGAATCTTGAAAAGCTGATGGAGTGGTTTATGTTGATTGGGCATTCTCAACGAGACAGCAGGAGGTTTAGATGAAAGAGACAAGTAGGGGAATCAAGTACAGAATTGATAGTAAAGAACTATCGAGAGGCCCTTGCCTTAAATGCGCACAGATTATGTGCTGATACATATCCATTGGACGTAATTGTGAAACCCGTTGATAGGCTGGCTACTAGACACGCTCTGCACCAACTCTGTAAGGGCGTATTTTTGCGCTTTTTACAGAGTTTACTCTTGAACCACTCGGTGTATCGTGTCGCGGTTGACAGTGTTACGTTCAGTAGGACTTAAGGGTCTACTGCCCAGTCGACGACTGTGGATAGTGTCGACGATAGCAAGGCAGTCAGGCCACTACTGTGGAACTGGTCTTATGAGTCTATACCAGGCTCAGGGCCATTAGTGACAAACGCTTGGACCGCGACCATTCCCCAAAAAGGGATCTGTTGTTGCGTCGACTTCTCAAAAAGGGTCACTCTCTGCAGATGGGAACTTGGGCTGAAGGGCTGAGCAGTGCGCGACGTTCTCAATAATACAACTACTACTGGACAGGACTTGGCGTTACGAGATTGAACCAATCTTGTCGCGGCAACTCCCGGTTTTGAGTTGGACGTTTCCTCAGATCATGCCACGACGACGACTTGTCACATGTCAGGATCCATTCGATCACGGGACATTGTGGACGCGTCGCGGTGACACTTCCAAGTGTCACGGCGGGTCGCGTCCATATCCAAACACACTAGAATCAACACGGCTAGATCCGTGAACCGAACCATGTGAGGGACGACCGGCGTGCCTAGGGCCATACGGCTTCTGGGGGCGCCCACGTTGGACTCACCTGCCAAGACATACCCGTTGGCCAATCCAGCACGTCGTATTCCAAAAGTATGACGCGGTGAGTTGGCCCACATCAAAAGTATCATATGGACTATGGGGCGGGGTCCTGATCACTCAGGACCTGTCCGATCGTTCAACTTTTCAATTACCCTAAAAGGCAACCGATCTTAGATAGCGTAGCTACTATGCAGTTGTACAGGACTTTACTAAGCATTGTCGTAGACAGTATAAGTAGCACGTTGTTTCTTTGTATTAAAAAGCTTTCCCCCGGACTGTGAATCACTCTCATTTCAGATTGTTTTGTACAATTTGCGTGCTGCGTGATTCCACCCGAAGAAGTTCTGCTACCCCTGCCCGGTCGCGACAAGTTGCTCCCTGAGCACTTGTAGCTACTGTGATTTGAGTTTGAGTTGAGATACCAGAAAGTCGGATTCGCCGCATCTGGTTTAGTCGTGGCATTTAGTGTCGTCGCCTTCGGGCTTTGTTGAGGTCGTTTCCACACCTCTAGCTTGGCAGTGCGTCGACTAGTTGTGCTCGGGTTGTTTTGGTCAGTTGGCAGTGCGTCGACTTGAGAACTTTGGTTCCACACTTCTTGCTTGGCAGTGCGTTGACAAGTTGTGCTCGGGTTTTGGACATTGGATATTGGCTGTTAGTTGGCAGTGCGTCGACGCGGCATCTTGGTTTACTAGTTGGCAGTGCGTTGACTCAGTATATTGGTTGTATCAGTTGGCAGTGCGTCGACTTGATATTTGGGCTTTGCGTCACCATCTGGACGCTGTCGCTACAAGGGATCTTAATACTTTGTATTAAGTTCTGACTTGTGATATTGTTGGTTGTGATTGGATTAGTGTTGGTTTTGTTTGTATAGAAGATATTGGTTGAGACACCACTGTTTGCTATATATAAATTATTGTCGGCGACTTCGTCTTCCGCGACTATTGATCTGCATCTATTGAGAGTTGTGATACTGGTGCTCTGTCCACCCCGAAGCCCTCGCATCTTTCACACACTGAGAAGCTGATTACGAGGAGTGTGAACGTGTTTATATTTGGGTTTACTTTCATAGTAGATTCACCTGTGAGCACGCCCTCAGCATTTCACCGTGAAAGTTCAATCCAGCGGAGCTTGCACCCTCTCATGGCTAGTCGTCGGTTGTAATGAACCTCCGAACTTAGCGAGCTCATGGCCAACACGCTGTGATCACCAGGTGTGGCACTTATGGTCCTCGAGGTGCGGCACTTCATTCCTTGAGGCACCAAAATGACTCCGTGAACACGGTCTGCTGTACTGCCAATTTAATTTCAATATCCGTGTATCTTGCACGTTCCTGCAAGCGAAATGAGGTAGTGCGTGGATCTCATGTGTCATTATTAGATGCACCGCTCTGAGTCCGATACGATTGTGCTAAATCACCAGTTATAAGCACACAAACTTGCTGTAAGTCCTAGTCGTCTCCTGCTACTGTGATCTACCTGCCTGACCAGCACAATTCCAGCGTCAGAAGTTGTCTTATTCTCTGTGGTGGCCAACTTCACAGAGCAGCGTGTTGCACTTCACAATGTCCCCGGTGCCAATAGGGTTTTGCCCTTGTGGCACCGGAGAGTTCTGTTGAGGCGGTCAATCTATTTGCGTTGGACAGAAAGGCTATTTTGTTTACAAGAGTGGCAAGTGCAATGCCTACTGTGTTGTGTGCTATAATTACTACTTGTCCTACTGTGATCGCCAACAAGATACATCAAAACCTAGTTTATTTTGCATTTTGGGACCCGTGGTGTACTAAATCGCCAGTTATAAGCGCGACAACTCTCTTGAAGTCCTCGTCGTCTCCTCCTACTGGGATCTACCTGCCTGGCCTCATGTCTCGAGGACAGGATTCTCAGTGTTGGAATTCTTCTGTGGCGGCCAGTTTCACGGAGAAGCATGTTGCACTCCAGGATGTCTCCTGTGGCACCGGACAGTTCTGTCGAGGCGATCAATACATTCGTATTGGGCAGAAAGGCTATTGTGTTTCGGAGAGCGGCAAGCGCAATGCCCACCGCATTGTGTGTTTCAATTGCTACTCGCACTAGCGTGATCGCCAACGAGGTACGTCAGAACTTTATTTAATTCACGTTTTGGAACTCGTGGTGTTAACATCGGCACAGACTCTCAAAGTTCGCATGCTGCTGGACCTCCGCGATCCTCGGCCCCAGCTCCAGATGCCAAAGAGATTCAACGCATGAATAATCAGGGCCGTTTGGGAGGTATGTGTCACAATATCCAATATCCTCACAAGTCCGGCCTCATGTTGCACCCATGTAGATGTCTCGCGTGCTCAGCAGCACGTTTCGATTTTTCCTCGCTCGGGTGGCACAATGGGCCCACCGTCATCTGTTCCCGGTATGTCTCCCATCGATTCTGGTGTCCATTCAGGACTAAATGCCAAATTAATTTTTAGCACGCCCGATTGTTGCAGCTCCGAGTGCCTGGGATCGTTCTCGCAACTCTGATATTGTGTCTCAAAAAGGCTCGAGGAGTCAGAATCAGTGGTCTGACAAGGGATACTCGAAGAATCACGCACAGTACCAAGCGTCTCGTGGCTCATGGGCACGCTCAAGTTATGTGGGGCATTCTCCAAAGATGTTGCCCATCCTGGTTGGTATTCGATACGAGATTCTCAACAAACCAAGAGGCGAAAGCTATGGAGTGAGTTCCGACAGGTCTACAGTCCGATATTACAATCTCACTTTACCGCAGACCATCAGCAAAGGCAGCGAAGTTCCCGGCGACGCAAGCGCCGAGTTCATCTTCAACCACGTGTTTGAGGTCCTGTATGACCGTCTCGTCGCAGATGCCAATTTCCAGTTCCGTGAGAACGAGCTCACTGTCCGGGACGTGACAACTTGGCAAGATTTCAAGGCTCTCCAGTCTGACCACGTGTTCTACTGGGACAAGTACTACAAGATCTCGGGCAAGGCAACAAAACCAGAATGGAAGGCTCCCAGGGCATCTGTTCAGATTGCTCTAGTGATTTCGGGCAGGGAGTGGCAACGACGCACGGAGATGTTAGCAGCGTCTGAACCTGATGTGAGTATTTCCACTCTTGTTCTATCTACATTAATAATGCTAACAACGTGAAGGCTGACTCAAATGAAAATTCTGTCAGTGCCACAGCGAGCGCCGTCCAGACTCGGGTCACTCGGTTTGTACGTGATCCATATGAGTCGTGTTGTGTCCGTAGTGGATAACTTTCACAGACAGCATCCATCTCGAATGCATCTGATCAAACAGAGGCCAGCACCATCAGGAGTCTGGCTCGATCCACTGATCGTGAGGCAACTAGGGCGCTTTCGCAACGCTCTGGTTCCTCATCATTGAGTGCCGTAGTTCTCGGAGCGGCAACATGGTCCCCCGATAAACGCCATGAACGTACACTGAGCCTTGGTGCTCCTTCGACACCTCCCTCGTCGCCACAGCTTCGATCAAAGTGTTCACATCCTGGCTGGCGCTCACCGGATGAGGCGGACTTTGCCCGGCTTCGAAAGGTGGCTAGTGTTGGAGGTCAAGTATCTTGATCAGGCACTCACGGTACGGAATCTCATGTTCCAATCAACTCACCTTGGCTGAATTTGTCTGCCTAGATGTCCCAACTTGCGAGCAGATTCTATTTTTCCACATTTATCCCAAAGCCATGGACGCACTGTTCACTCAGGACGAGGCGGCGATGCAGTTTGTGTGCGATCCGGCTGTGGCTGAGCCAGGCACACTCAGTGTTGTCCTGTCTGCTGCTTTAGGGTCTGGTAGTTTCAAGGACCCTCACCCTTGTTTGACCATCAACGTCTCCCACTGGGCTCGGATCAACTGTGAATCAACGCGTTGCGGCCAAACGGATGATTGATACAAAGGCCAGTCGACGTGATACAGTCGGAATCAGACGGTTCAGTCCGGCAGTCAAACTTGAGCAGAGCATTTGCGAAGGGAATCTGCTGCTTTGGGCAACCTCACTGTTCGACCTCACAGATACTTTTGTCCGTCATCAGCTCAGTAAGCTCGGGGAGCCGCCCTCCAATCTTGTCATCCCGGACATTCGATTTGTTGAGGGCGGCGTTGCACAAGTCCACGACACTGTCACTGGTACCAATGTTGTCCGGGCATCATCCCTGCGCCGTTCTTTCATCATTGAAGAACTGATTCCCTCTCGCTTTGTCAAATTTGTCCATAATCGCGCTGCTGTTCCTCATTTAGATCCTGATCACCCGTCGTATCACATTGCGCTCTATCTCTGTTTCACGCAGCACGTTCAGTACGTGTACACTGGACGGAGCATGTTCTTGTCGGACTATCAAGGTGAGCATTCACTCATTGTGCGACTCCCACTGATTAATTTGATCAACCAGGCTCTGAATCCCTTCTCACGGACCCTCAGATCATGACCACTCCGTGCGGCATTCATTTTGTACCACATCACACTTTCACTCATCACTTACAGCGAGATTGCCAAACAGCGTGGAACTCCAATGTTTGGCGGTGGCAACGTCAGTGAGCTCTTCAACGTGTTTTGTAACCAACACGTGTGCTCTGATTATTGCCGGTTCTTTGGTCTCAAACCCCTTGCTCAAGTCCCTGTTTAATTTATGTTTGCGGGCCGTGATATTTCCACCGATTCAGCGTTCAGTATTAGTACTCAATACATTGAATCTATTGGTTTTGTGTGCTCGTAATGTTGCTTAGTGTAATGGTTCTGGGGTCTTGACATCACTTATCAAAGATCATCGTCGCATAACCATTTGACATGAGCAGACCACTCCGGGTTTCCATACTCATGTGTATACTCATGGCAGAACTGCGGCAGCTCAGCACAGCAGTTGAATTACATTCACAAAATGACATTGTGTTGAGTTTCTATGATGTAGCAAGCTGCTTGGTACACAAATTGTCACGTGTCTGATTTCAGATCACGAGATTCTACATATATACCATTTTTTATTGTCGCATCCTCAGTCTTACCACCACTATCAGGCTGGACTATGAACTTAATAATCACTGTTGTATACACATCAACCTTGCCTATGTATATATGTGCTTGCTCCGTATTTATCTATATATGGCAGATATACTGTTGACAAGCATGGATACACCCTGGCCCCGCAATCAATTGATTGGATGTCACATCAGTATGATGTAGCAAGCTGCTTGGTCTCACAACATAGCCACAACTCACTGGCACATGATGACCAGCGTCAGGCCAAAATCAAACTGACATTTATTTTGGAGTTCATTCCCAGATCACAAAATCACTTCATCCTACCAGCTCAAAGGGTAACATCAGCAGTCACTTTCCCATTTTAAACAAGTCCAGTGAAACTAAGCAAAAATACAGTATTTACATCCACATATCTGAAACTGTAAACAGAATAAATTCTCTTCAAAGCTGGAAAGCTGTATTTGTCCTTTATTTGGTCAAGCCTCCAGATCACCCAATTTCACTGAAATTTTGGGAATGTGCTATTCCTAGGTAGTACTTGCTACCTGAGTACAAGAATAATAATTTGAGTGGCTAGTATTTCTTTTGAATGCTCCCCCGCTTCCCTTGTTTGTCCTTTATTTGTTCAAGCCTCCTGTGTGACCAGTTCACCCAATTGCACTGAAATTTTGGGAATGTGCTATTCCTAGGTAGTACTTGCTGCCTGAGTACAAGAATAATAATATGAGTAGCTGGAATTTCGTGATGAAGTCACTGATATTTGGAAGTTTCCGCTGCTCAATGCTCTTAGGCAGAATTTTGCAGCTAATTTCTTCAGACAGGATGTGGCAACTAAGGTGCTTAGCGGGATTTTGATACCAACTTAAACATAGGAAGATTTTTCACAAAATGTATTTTCTGGACACTATATTGCCCAAATCTATGTGCTCCATGCACTTTCGGGGTCCTGGATGATCACAGATCAACAATCATCAATCTGTCAGTCAGAATCAGTGATATATGCACGCGTGTATCAGCATATAGCTCCAGGCCTCCATAGGTGTGGAATATAGTGGCGAAGGGCAAAACAGGGTGGCCAAATTGTATTCCTTATGACCCATATTCCTTGTGACCGTATTCCAGATGAACAATTTGCCTGTAGTCAGGAAATGAAGCGCATATCAATCTTCAAGGCTGATACATGCACCAAGTTTTCAAGAAGACAATAAGGCTCCCTTCCAAAATTCAGACAGAGACTGATTTCAGGCCTTGATGTGCTGGAACTGTGACAATACTGTACCAATTCAATCAATTCGACACCGGGGCCCGAATTTTTCCCCAAAAAAATCCCAAAGAAATCTGAAAAATCAAGAAAGAATTAAATCCGTGGTCTAATTTTTGGGGTGTGACGCGTGACTGTCGATTTGATTAGATTGGTACAGTACTCTCAAATCTTTCACACAGACCTGTGTCTCGGCATTCCGTCTGAGATGTAAATTTTTGTCTCACTGTCAGGGGACGCCGCGCTCCTTGGGCACATGACCATGCACGTGACCCACTGCGCCCTCTCTGCCGACCCGTGCCTGCTCACCTGTCGATCACCCAGCCTCCTCCTCCTCCTCCGATCCTCATCTCCATCCATGCCAACATCCGCCCTCTCCCTCCTTCCCCCGGCCATCTCCCTCGAATCCCCGCAAGCGGTCTAGCCAAGCCCGATTCCTTGCACCAGGGAGTGCTACTGCCGTACGCACTCCTCCCCCTTCACTTCGGCCTTCTCCCCGCGGATGTGGTCTACTGCCGTACAGGCTCGTACCAGATGCCCTTGCGCTCATCCGCACCACCCCTCTTCCCAGTCGGGCATTGGTCCTCGCCTCCGATGTCTCCACTGGCCGGCCCGGCACTGGCCTGGCCACTGGGCTCCTCCAGTGTGGCCTTCCACTGTTGGTGTCTCAGGAGCTGGCCATCACTGGCCCCTCTGAGCCACTCACTATCTTATCTGGGTTTGTCATTATCTACTTGTCATCTGCCATTGTTCCATGGCAGTGATATCCCATCATCATCAGTCACTTGTCACAGCTGACTATATAGTGTGACACCTGGGCACATGGATCCTTGAACCGTTCTCTAAGGATCCCCCTCTGTGCTCAGGTGAGTAGTATACCTCCCTTGTATTTGATAGTCTCTAAGGATCCCCCTCTGTGCTCAGACTCATGTGAGGTTGTTGTGTGCTGTGTGCTCTCTTCCTTCGGGCTGGCAGGAGTTGCCCTTACACTCACAAACATTGAATGTGCATCTTCGGTTCTGTCGCTGCCAACTCTGGGGATCTCACTGCAGAGTTCAGAGGTTACTGGTGAAAAGAGGAGGCAACCAACCAAACATGTAAAACTACATATTGTGGAAACAGTCATGCAGCAGAGACGCAGATAAATGGTTTCGAATATGAATTATTACTGCTTTTTTAAGACTCTTCTAACCATGACAAATGTTTGGTGGTGGTACATGAATGACTGCGACGTTATGTAACATGTCCAGCGTGGTCCCAGTTTGACCTGCGGGAGTCCTGGTCTGACACATGGGGATGCGGATTCATTCCGGCAGGACTCATGCGGGACTCCAGCAGGTCCCAGCGGGTCCCGCATTCGTGTAGCCCGTTCATTCTCCGGGTTCGCAGTTTCAAAGCCCGGGGCCCGAAACCTGTTCTTCATTATATTGTGCATTGATTGAGCCGTCTGGGACAGAAAGAGAGACGCTAGGGTCTCCTTTCTGCCCAGATTCCCAATCTGTCCGAGCTTAATCACATCATATCTTATCTTATCTGGGTATCTGAGGATGGATCGCAGTCACGATTACATCAATAGTATCCTACAAACAGGGCTATAGGCCTTCTGGGAAAACAGTGTACTTCTCTTCATTCCTTGCCGATTCTATCTACAATAACCTGTGCACCTCCTCCCAATAGCTCGCACTCGTTGATTCTGCATATGCCCCATCGTAAACACCCTCATCGCCCTCATCAGCCATTGTCGTGATTTTCTTCAAAGCGCCAAACAGTATACTGAGATATGCCGCAACGTCGCTCGGTCGCTCGATCCCCGCGTTGAGCACCATCAGCTCACGCAGCGCCCGCTGGCGTGGGAATGCCCGAGACGCCAGTATGCTCAATGCCCACGCGACATCACACGCGTCAAGAGGGATCTTGAGCGTGCGGAGTGACCGGCAGTTTTCGGCGAAGGATGCAAGGCAGGGAAGTGTGACATGTTTGCCCCCGGAATTAGCAGCCCACAGCCGCAGCTCGGCAATGTGGGGGAGGTTCTGGGCGAGAGTCCCCAGACTTTCGTTTGTGATTTCGAAACCAACATGGGATTCAATGGATATGTTCGTCAGAGAGGAAAAGAATGAGCAGGTGAGGAGGGTGAGGCTCCACAAGTCACCGTCTTCGCGGTGATCAAGACTTGAGATGTCTAGGAGGCGCAGCTCCGATTGAGAGCCACGTGTTATAGAGGCGAGGAGGCTTTCGAAAGCCGAGTTGAGTACAAGTCCTCTCAGTCCGAGGTGGAGAGTTGACAGCGGCGATGTGGTCAGCGCTGAAAAAAGCAGGTTTGCCTCAAGTTGTGTGACGGCTTGCAGTTCGAGCGCTTGGAGTGAGGGAAAGAATGATCGATCAGCCGCGAGGGTCGCAAAATCCTCGAGATCCGTGACGAACGTCACAGATAGAGACTGAAGTCGTGGGAGCGCACCCAAAAAGATAAGAGCCTGTTGATTTGCCACATGCGCGGACGCGCAGCGCAGATCTGCGTATACAGCAAACAAAGATGATATCAGATCGGCGGGCCCTCGGTTGTCTGACGTATCGAAGTGAAAGCCAATGTCACGCATCGTCCTGGAAAACCGACGCGAAACTTCCAGTAGAAATTTCATGCTTTCATCGATCGTCCCCACCAGGCATGGGGTCCAGATGTGCAGACTAGTCAAGTTCGGTCCGAGAAACGGGCGCATAGCCGTCAAGTTGTTCTGATGCCAGGTGAGATATCGCAACGACACGAAACAGGTCTCGGGGGGTGGGCAGATGAGGATTCCCCCCAGCGATTGAGCCACATCGAGTGCGGTCCCTCCAGACGCCGGGCAAATCAATCTACGAATAAATGGGCTGTAAATCACCGAACGTGTCCAGTCTTGAACAACAATGTCTCTCCGCAAAGACAGAACACCTGAGTGGCGGAAACATCAGTCTCTAATGGATGGCGCAAGCAAAGATAGAACGGGGAGCAAACTTACGGGAAGTCCCAAAATACCAGTCCCCATTCCACACATCCTCTGGCATCGTGTACCGTAGCCAATATCCAAGCTCTACGGCGGCCCAGAGTACTTTTATTGCAGGCTGAAAAAAGGCTTGACATGTCTGGGCAAGGGCAGCGAGGATTCCCTTCAGCTCATCGGCCCCGATCGCTTCGCAAATCAGGTGGCGGATCTCGGCGACCCTCAAGGCGGGATGCATCGAGGCTTGAGGAAGGGTAGTGGGATTAAAGCACATCGTCGAATGGGGGTCGGGTCTGCTTTGTTCCTCGTAGCACTGCGACCTTCTCTTGAAGTTATATCGCACGGGATGTAGGGGTCAGTCGTCTACATTGTCCACGGATCGAGATCGGCTTCCGAGCACGTTTGAGAACCAGGTTCTTCTTGAAGTTCGAGCTGAACAAGTGAGTGTTGGGAGCCTTCACCGGGTGCAGTGCGTTTTTTTTATCGAAAGGCGGGAGTTTGACGGAAGATTGATCAGAATTGAAATCGACGTTCCCAAGATGGCTTGAAAAAGAGATATCGAACGAAGGTGCTATGCTCGAGATAGGCATAAAATCGGCTTGATATAGCCCTGCCTGGCAACAGCCGAGACTGCGTCGCCACGGCTTCAGAAAGGACGGGAGCATCAGTAAAGTTACGTCTGCTCATTTCTCGTGCGAGTGCTCGCCTTATGCTGCAAAGTCTGTTTTCGTGCTAGTGTGCGACTCAACCAGGCCTACCCCGACCATCCAGGTCCTTGCGTGCCAGGAATGAGTTCTTTCAGTGCCCCCATCAGTTTACGCAAAGAATTAGCCAAAGCCACTAATGTGGGTCTAAATACTTCGCCTCGGACCACGCTGGAATATGTAAGGCGGAGATCCGGAGGGGATTGCACCGAGGTTTATCTACGGCCCGGAGACTGATGTCAACATGCTTGCTCATCCGATGATAATTGGCGGCCCGGTTCTGAAGCAAACCCGCGGGTGATCAGGCCATCGGAATCCGCGAGGTTTGCAGATCGAGATGGCGTAAGGCAGAGGATGCATTCTTATATATCAATGTGTTTTGGGAGTGTCTATGCCGAGCTTCTAGGTTCACTTCTCTCAATGTTCGCATGTAGGTTGAGCACATGTATATCTGACCGCTTGCGGGCCGGGCAAGCTGGCACTCCGGAGTGTTATTTTTATCCAGTGCCTGTATCCTCTGCGGCCTTTGCTCTACAGTCTTGACCCGAACCGCTGCATTCCTACTCAAACCTCATGAGGTTTCCCTACGAAACAGATAAGTCATCACATGGTCTATCATAGCATGATAGCGGTAGTGAGCAGGGTAGATTGCAATGACTGTGTCATAAGTCGTTGAAGACCAAGATCTAAGTCGAAACTTGAATTGAGGCCGGCAAACAGTGAACAGATTTCAGGTCTTTGCTTGAGAACATTTCGTAAGGTGCCCGAACAATGAAATTACAGACATGGCCGGTTCTGGAACACAGAGATGAATCTACAGACATTTAGGAGCCTTTCGCAGCTGGTTGAACTTCTGGAGCGATGACGCCGAGGATCGCTCCAGATGGCAATTGACTCCCACTTTGGGTAGAACATTTTTGCTTTCAATGTTTGCAGAAAAGGCGGGTAGCCCTGGGACGCGCATTTCCCGAAGGTACATGATTGTTTGATTCAGAGACTCCGTTCGGTGTCAATACCATCGAATTTTGAAGGAAACACTTGCGTGTCGACAGCTTCTGTATTATCGTATGCTGCCGTTTGCACATCCCGCAATAAAACACCAAGTCCCCACACAATGAATTGGAGCCGTTCTCCATATGGCACATCACCAATAGGAGAGTGCGGGCCGCCAAAATCCCTCGAGGCTCGATGTGCAATAGCCGCGACCATCAAGGGATCAATAGTTCATGCATATCTTACCCACCAAGGATAATTTGACGGGCGTACATCGGCTGAGCATATCTACACTGCCAATGCAATACGGCTCTCGCTTCTTTGGATATGGTTGACGGTAGTTACTGAACTTTGGGCCACCGTGAGGCATCCGGATGCGGTTTGCGTTTCAACAGAGCCAGCGCACCTTATCTGACTCTTTCCCCGAGTGACGGGTTCAACTGAGTGATACGTAATATTAGATCAAGCGCCAGAGCTCCTGCCTGCATAAAGCCTGGATTCCCAACCGAAAAGAAAAGTGGCTAGAGGAGCGGCCCTTGAGGCACAGTGAGCTGGCCTGAATCTCTCACTCGGTCATGCAGATGTCCTCATATACGATATTCAGATGTATTGGAGATACTCTCCAAAGCGGCGGAGATGCACTAAATTGGTCCGGCGAGTTTGGCGTGCCCACGCTGAGGCCGACTCGGAGGTTATTGTCTATCTAGAATTCGATGATTATGACATAGAAGCACACAGTACCGAGTGTGCAGAGTGGAAGCAAAAACTACGAAGAGTGTCAAGCCAAGGGCGTGGCCTTAGCCCCCGGCACAAGGGGCCGAACGGTCCGAAGATGAAGGAGTGACATCGCGAAACTTCACGTATCCAAATGATGTAAAGTCCTGAACCGAAGTGACGGCATCCAGTGCCCCAAACAGGGTGAAGGAACCGAAGTCGGATCCTGTAACCATTATCGCGACCTTGGGTAATTTGGAGTCTATGTGTCAGATTTGATCCGAAACTTCCAAATGTCACATAATTTTTTCTTGCTACGTGAAAGTATGGAAGTGTGGAACCATATGTATATGATACCGCAGCCGGAGCTCAGTAGCTCAGTGCGGCGAGCGGAGAAGTCATGTCAGCATAGGTAATCGTTTCTCACTCCGTGAATGTATAGAAGTTTGGAACCATGTGGATTTGATGCCACAGCCGGAGCTCAGTGCGGCGAGCGGAGAAGTCATGTCAGCATAGGTAATTTTTTCTCACTCCGTGAAAGTATAGAAGTTTGGAACCATATGGATTTGATGCCGCAGCCGGAGCTCAGTGCGGCTAGCGGAGAAGTCATGTAGTCGCTTGGGGAGCGTCCGTGAAGCGAAGGAAGCAAAAATCCCACTTACATTGCGCATGGGTGACTTTGGTCGCTAGACCGGGAATGGCGGTTATCGAATTGACCGAACGATTCAATTGACTGATTAGCCATGAGTTGTCCGCGTGACCTCTCCAACAACCGTAAGGATTCTGAATGAAGCAAGAGGGAGAGCACAGGCGATGGAGCTAAGCAGCGTGAAAATCATGACTCAGCCGGACAAATGGCTTTGATCAAGTCAGACAAATTTATTGCAAATGGATACTCAAACACGCATCTTATCCATACCGATCAATGCCAAGGAAAATGCCGGCACAAAGATGAGAATGCTGACTCAATGGCGTCTTCAAGACCGGGAGGAATGTGTAACGCTAGGAATACCTTGAGAAGCAACAAATGCACCTGAATTCCATCTCAGAGTTGAACTGTGTTCCGATAAATGAACTCGCGTTTGCCTGGACCTATCAATGGTAGGCATTCAATATGACTTGTGAAACCTGGGCAGTCTTACGAAATCTCATCTGCATCCTATCGCATATATCTCATTTGCACTCATCCGACTCGGAGTAAATTTTGATTTTGTGGCATTTGTGCACTTGAGTGGGCTACATGAATTAGCCGCGGGACCCGCTGGGACCCGCTGGAGTCCCGCTGGAGTCCCGCTGGGTTTAGTCCCGCTTTAAGTAGAGTCCCGCGGGACCCAATTCTTCGACCTCGCTGTCCTCAACAATGTCAACACTACGAGTGATGCAACTAATTGGGATATCTTGTTACTGTATCAGACTCTATGCTAAGGTTGACAGAACATTGAAATGTTCTGCCGTCGTCGAGAGCGGGACTTCGATTTTTCAGGGGTCCCGCTGGGCCAGACCTGCGGGGGTCCCGCGGCGAATTCTGTAGGCCCCACTTGAGTTGTGCTCGGAGGGGCGGCGCCAGAAGAGGCGTTCAACAACGATTGCACCAGCGTTCAATCTGAGACCGACGTTTTGAGCATGCCAAACGGGTATGGCCCTGCGCAAATGGGCGTTTGATGCGGACTTTACATACCGGCTTGGGAGAGTGGCTTGTGATGGCTTGTAGCGGCTGTCGGAGTTTGAATTTGGCTGACGGGGCTTGGCTTGCGTGATGCGGGCTTGGGCGTGGCTTGTGAGTAATTTCTCCTCCTGATTGACATCGTCCCCGACGTTCCCGACGCTTTGGGCCTCCCACCGAAGTTAGGTTTATTTTACTAGGTACCATTTATGTAATTAAGTACTTCCCGACCCGAGACTTATTATACCGGCTTGTCAACCAGGCTTGTGCCCCATGTCGGAGTTTAAAATTAGCGGGCCGGGCTTGGCTTGTGTGATGGGGGCGTGGGCGTAGCTTGTGCACAGATCTGATCAATGATATCGTCGCTGCTCATCGCGTCAGCCCCGCGCTCACGTCGGACGTGCTATTTAATGGTCGTAGTACATCGTCCTTCATTCTAAATGTATATATTAGCTGCATTATGCTTCGGACGCCTCAATTGTCACCACCATCAAGCACGAGTAGCCCGTGCTCAGTGATAGCTCACCGCCTCTTCGTTGTGCCTTGCCACCCCTTTGCCCGGGACCGTCCCCGCGCTTTCTTTGCGCTTTACTCGCGCTCACCATCAGAGATCGCTTTCTCCAGCCTCCGCTTGTGCCGCTGTCTCCTCTTGGCCGGGATCAGTGCGTACGTCGGCGCCTCGCCTCGAATGCGAGATCAGCGGTAGCTCACCACCTCTTTGCTGTGCTTTGCCGCCCCCTTGCCCGGGACTGTCCCCGCACTTTCTTTGCGCTTTGCTCACGCTCACCGTCGGAGATTGCTTTCCAGGTTCCGCTTGTTCCGCTGTCTCCTCATGATTGGGATCAGTGCTTACATTGGTGCCTCGCCTCCAGTGCGGTGGTAGACCGGGATATGGATGTGGGGTCGTATCCGCAGTGCTCCGTGAAGAAGCGTCAGAGGCTCGAACGTTCTGAGACGCGTCCGAAAATGCCACTCACATTTTGTACAACCCGTGGAGTTCCGGGGTTTGTCGAGACTCGAAACCAATCAATAGCTAACACCCAAAACAGAGCCTGAGGAGTTCCGAGGCGCGTTCGAAAATTCGACCGACCTCTTTCACCGCCCGTGGATTTCCGAGGCGCGTCAAAATCGAACCAGGATCGGAAAAATATGGACCTGAGTAATGAGAATGTAAGAATGAGAACTTGTATTATTCTGTAA